TCGCAGCATTCATGAGCCCCTGTTACCTAGAGGCATGTAAAAACATTTAAAAGCTGTCTCTATTTCCAAATCTCTCAGAATCAATTTGGAGGGTTCTGATTCGATTCAGAGAGATTAAAGGGTCCTCCAATTCAATTTGGATTTGGAGATTCAGCCACTAAAATCAGACCAAATCTCCGCTGAATCGAATCGGGACCGAAGCTTCACATAGACCTAATTTTTACTGCTAGTCTCAGGACTTTTTTCCTCCCAATTTGTTCATGACTTTCTTGAAGTGGAGTGCCCAGAAAAGGCATACAGATCCAAGAAAAGCCTTAACGGTGTCATATAAGATAGAAAAAAAAAAATCAGTTCCCCATGACTTGTATATTATACTTGAAGAATTTGGGGAAATGGGGCTACAGAGCTTGTGCAGTCTCTGTGGAGAGTTGTGCAATAAACAGCTCTGAAAAGTCCAGGCTGGAGGGGCTGGGATGGCAAGATAGGAGCACTGCCACTGGAACCACAATTAAATAGGTTTATATTTTTATGATCTGTGTTACAGCAGAAGTCATAGGTCACATTAAACATCAGGCTCCGCTGTAAAACACATATAATAAGAAAGTCCCTGTCCCAAGGGAACAAGAGAGGAGAGACACATGAAGCCAGATTCTATTCCAATTTAATTCCATAAGTGAACCCTGGCACCTAAAGAAATTCTATTCCACACTACTCTAATCTCTGAAAAACTGCAAAATGGTAAATGAGTGTTCCTTGCTGCTGTTTTGTGACTCAATCTTAAAGGTCAGGTGATGGTACATTACAGAAGTACATACTTCAAGAGAATTTCAGGAACTTGAACAGTATGGAATAGGTGCCTAATTCCACTTAGATGCCTAACAAATAGAAAAAAATTTGGACCATGGAGCTGAAGGTCATACAACAGGTCAGAACCAAGGCAGTGCACTGAACTAAACTTTCTTTTTTTAAACAATGGTTATGACTCCTATTCCAGCCAGAGGCAAGACTGAAAACAACTGAGGAACTGTAGGATTGTCCATACCTTGTATAATGACATGGATTGTGCATAAGTGTGAGCACACATGGGTTGTACCAAGCAAGTTTACCAGCTTTTACACTGTAGCTAGTTTCTGCAAGCTCATCATGCTGAGTGATACAGCAATGGTAACCAAGCTACATCTTTATCATTTTATCTAAATTCAAACAAGCTTCCAGTGAACAATCCAAACAAAAAAATATAATACATCTGAAGATATGGAAAATTGTTTCCAATAAGCAAATGACTTCCTTGCATGTGAAATATCACTTTAGTTATTATAGTGAACATAATTGTGGGAGGACCTTTTGTGTTATTACAATGACTTTCCATCTGTTCAGTAAAGAAAAACTGTATATTCTGCCTTGCTTTGTTCAAAAAAAAGCGCAGCTATTATCCCCTATTTTCAACATTATCATTAGCACAAAAATGTTCATCGTGCTTTGCAATTTCCTGAAGATATAGAATTACTACTGTATTTCCAGTTCAGAATTTAACTTTAATTGTTCATAGGACATTAAACATAAACCTTAGCATACTTTGTTATAAAAATGCAATATAATCTTCTCAATTCACTGTAGATTTCCCAGAAGCTAGTCTGAATGAACAAGTATTGCAGATTTGCAAGTTAACAAACTAAAATAAATAAATAAATAAATGCTACTACTCTACAGAGTATACTTAGTTAATTTTTAACCTAATTTAAGGGATACAAGAAGCTCAGAACTGAAATGAAACCAACCAACCAAGCTTTTTCAAAACAAAAAACAAGCCACGCAAACAAGAAAACCAAAAAACCCCAGACAAATAGAAATACTCCATTACTTTCCTTTTGATTTCAATGGAAACATATTGTATTTTCCTATACCAAATACTTCCCTAGCTGGTTCCCAGAACACATAGTGCAACACCATATATGATGAACACATAGTTGATATCAAGCAGAAACAGATGCTGAAACAAAAATGAAACTAACTATATTATTTGAATTGTATCTTTGTTTATCTGACTGAACAAAGTGGAAAGTAAGCAAATGCATAGCATTCTCTCAGTTTTACTAATAGAAGCTGTTAGTAAAAACAAAAGATGACTGCTTATAAAAAAAAAAAAACCAAACATATTAACGACTTAAATTTTCTGAAGGTATATCGCTTAAGGCAGACCATCAGTGTGAGAAGAAAGGTGGAAGACAAAATTGAGTTGATACTGCCACTGTATCTTGCTGTATTCTGGTCCAACCAGATACAGAGCAGGGTTGGTTTTATCGGTATGTGGGAGAAGGTATACTCTAGAACTAGGGGTGCACCAATAGAGATTTTGGGGGCCAAAAGCAATAGCCAATTTTTAAAGGAGGCATATCAGCTGATACTGATCTGATTTCCCATACGGAGCCTGGCAGCTTGAAGAGCAGTGTCTGGCTGGTAAGTCTGCTGTGGTGGAAGGGAAGCGGAATGGGCGGGCAGATCAAGGCCCTTGCAGTGAGGGAGGGAGTAGGGCGTGGGGCAGAGCCACGGTTCGTCCAGGGAGCACAAGGGGGGGGGGTCCCCGCTACTGCACACACTCCAGGGGGGCATGGGGGGGGGCCTGTGCCCCCCACCTCTGCATAGGGTGGGGCGGGCTGCAATGGCACTGGGAGAGGAGCTATGGGAGGAGCTGCAGCCACCCCAAAGTTTGCCGTAGGCCCCCCAATCCCCTCTTCTAGCACCACCACCACCCACACACTGAGTGCAGCCCCAGGCCAGGCTCCCCACCCAGTCAGTAATAGTAAACAACAGTCGATGAGAAATTGAGGGTTAACAGTGATCATCAAGTCCAAGAAGTTGGGGAACCACTGTCTTATATTATGGTTAACCTACATTATTATGACTTCCCATAGAAGTAATACAACTAGCAATAATTATAAAGTAGTCTCCATCTCTCATACTGACTTTGAAAGAACTCGTTAAAAAAAAACCAAAAACAAATATATAGACACTGAAGTTATCCAAGCTCTGTTAGGGTCATTATTCCTCAGGAATTTTATCCATTACCCAACACTTCACATCACCAATCATAACACTGACAAGTTAAAATATATTCTGAAAGATTATCCTCTTGATGACATATATTTAGTTGGAATATATAATAAGCCTGATTACAAAAGGATAAATTCAGGGATATTTAATTCGGCTTTTTTAGTTGTGTAATATAGGAGAAAATGAATGCTATTTGAATTTACTGAGTGGAACCTCCACAAGAGGAAAATTCAGGCTTTAAAGAAAATATCACTAATATTAATCAGACCACTTCTGTATAATGCTGACAGCTACAACTTTCACCTCATTGTGCCAGCCCTGTATTTTACTTTCTGTATTGATTTCAGTTAGTGTTTTTCCAGAGAACACATTATTGTACCTTACATCTTTCATTAGCAAAAAGAAAACATTACAGAAAGAGAAAAATAATTATTTCAGAGTTAACATGGCACTTATAAACATAAAAGATTGAAAACAACATTCATTTCTCTATTCTAATTGTTTTTCCCCCAATAATTACAGTGATATAAGAAGTAAGAGCATGACAAAGATACTGGCTGATGACACCAAGTTAGGAGGCCTCATTAATACTGGAAAGAGTTGAAGTATCATACAGGAAGAACTTGATCTATTTGAGGACTGGGGAATAGAAATGAGGAAATTTAATAGTTCAGAAAATAGGGTTATATACTGTGGCAGTAATAAGTGAGAATTTCTACAATATGCTAAAGAGCTCATAGTATGAAATAACTGAGGGGAAAGAAAAAAAGACAAATGTACACATCAACACAGCGTGACTATGAGCCACCAACATGGTTTAGCCAAGAAAAAGGCAAATGCAATCCTAGACTGTATCAGCAGAGTTATTTCCAGTACAGACATGGTGTTATTGGTGCTATTGTGGAAACCCCTGGTGGGAATTTATCTACAATACTATATCTAATTCTCACCATCCATGAGCAAGAAAGATGAACTCAAACTGGAAAGGAGCCACAGAAGGGTTGCTACGATTACAAAAGGAGAGAAGAGCCTATTTTACAAGGAGGCATATTTAAAAAAGGAAAATCAGAAGTGGAGAGCATACCTGGGAAGAGAAAGAATTACTCAAGCTAAAGGACAACATCAGCCAAGGGTCAAATAGATATTAAACAGCCATGAATGCATTTCATTTGGGATTTAGGAGTCAGTTTTCAAGCAGCCAAGTGGTTCTAGAACATTCTTCCATGAAGACTAAGTGGGAGGAACGGGCCCCAACTCCCTTTAAATAGGCAATTGATCAGTCTATGATAGGGATTATAGGATATACTTGCCTGCAGAAGTAAGGGACTAGACCAGGGGCAGGCAAAGTCTGACCTGCAGGTCAGATCTGGCCAGAGTTGGACTCCATTTCCCAGCATCCCCTGCCTGTGTGGCTGGGACTGGTTTCCATGAAGACCATAGCAGCAGCTGCCCTATGATAGCACAGGGCTGGGACTTCCATGGAGACCACCCCCAGCAGTACTGGCAGGGCACACGGCAGGGCGTGGAGCTGCTCTGCACAGGGCTGGGATCTTGCGGTGGTGACAGTGTGATCCAGAACTGGGGCAGAGCCATGATCTGCAGCTTGCATGCTCTGGGCAGGGGTGTGCAGGCAGCGGATCGTGGCTCTCCCCCCACTCCAGACCACGCTGTCACCACTGAAAGGGGCTGGGGAAGAGCTGCAATGTGCTGCCTGCGCACCCCTTCCCAGAGTGTGCAGGCTGGAGATCATAGCTCTGCCCCACCTCTGAACCAGCATTGCAAGCATTAGGTATAAAACAGTAATGCTCCCCATGAAAGTCGTCTTTTCAACCTCCATTCAGACTCTTAATGAGACTAAAGTAATTTCCATTCCCTTGTAGTTGTTGGATTGGACCATAGATAATTAAATGAGATGCATTCCAATGTCCAGAGGAAGAATGATGTTCTACCATTTCATATTTTAAGGCAATTACATTTTTCTTCTATTCTCTCCATTCACCAACAAGGAAAACAATGAATAATTCAATGAATTAAACATGGGCCCAAGTTATACTCTTTATGCACCTGAAGCTGCAAACCATTTGGCACCTCACAGAATCAGCTCCTACTACCCAATTACAGGAGGAAGGGCTTCAGCTGACTGATGGTGAAAGGCAGGAGTGAACCATGTCTATCTCAACTTGTTTAAAGTCAAAGAAGAAATATCTTGAACATTTTGTTTTCTTCAGTCCTTAAGAAGCCTTTACACAGAATCCTCAGCTGGTTTTAACACACATTCAGACAAATAAGAGGTTAAAGGAACCTTACTGGTTTCAGAAAGGCTCCTCCTACTTCAGTAGGGATGCATATTGGTAAACTTCAGTTATGGGTCTGTTACAGCAAAATGTGCCATACTCGCATGTGCTGCGATTTGAGGACTCTGTGTAGTTTATGGTTTCTGCTTGGTTTATGATTTCTTTCTGTGTCTGTCAAACTGGAAACTACATTTTGATTGTAAAACTGGTCTTGGCCATCCTCCTGTCTTTTATTCTCCATCTTGGACAAAAGTTTCTAAAGGGCATTGTTAGCCCTGTGTCATTGACAAAGTGCTATAATGTAATGTAATCACCTCATACAATAGTTCACTCCTCCTGAAGAGAACTGGGTTGTCCAAGAGGTTGCCTTTGCAACAAAGTCACTTAATTGGAGTCTCTCATCACCCGATGGTAGCTGATAAGGCAATCACCCAAAAGAGGAGCTGTAAAGTTATAAAAGGGCAGGAGTTCAGCCCTTTCTCTTCTTTGGCTATCTTCAGCTGCTAAAACTAAGGGGGAGCTTTCTGCCTGTGGGGTCCAAGGGAAAGGAGCTGGAATACTGAGCACCAAATTTAAGACTTGTTTTAATGTGATACTTTATTCTTTAATAACGCTGGTTTATTTAAGTAGCATAGCAAAATCCATTGCTTACAACTATCAAAGGTCTCCCTCACTTCATGCAGTACATGCATTCCTGGAAAACAGTGCATAACTTGAATTCGCATACAGGGAGCCCACTTTACAATGTAACAAATAGGGATAGATTCCAAGTTCTCAACTGTACTGACCCCCAGACCCATTTCTACCACTTTTTCAAGACAGTTTTGGTACTCACCGATAGCAGACAGTACACACAAGCATGTTGCTGGTGAATATTACCGTAACGGGGATGGCAACTACAGAAACACGTGTTGCAGACAAGAAGCGAGGAGCGCAGATCCACACAGGAAACTATATGTTGGTGCATGTCACTCGTGCAATGTACTGCAAAAAGCAGCTGACTGTGGGCTCTCACCCACAGATTTCACTCACAGATCTTATAATAGTGAAATTACCTCACATATAATGAATTTTTGGTATAAAAAGGGTCCTTGCACAGGAGTGAATTTGCACATACAGAACCTGCGTAAAGTGAGGGAAGCCTGTAATTATAGGGCCATGTTACACGGTGAGCTGCACAAATACTGATGGGTGTTAGTAGCAGCTTGAGTCTGGAATAGTCATATGTTCAGGCCAGCAGGGGCCTGGAGGACTGAAAAGTAAAAATACCACCGTGCCCCAATTCTGGGCTTCCCTCCTGCCCTCCTCCAGGGCTCCCCCCTTCCCCTCAGGGTTCCTTCCTGCCCCCACTTGTGGCTGCCTGCGTCATCTGTCCCAGGGGAGCAGGCAGGGAAGTGTTAGCCTGCCTGCCCCTCCCCACCCCACTATTGCTACTGCCCTGCTGTTGCTCCTCTCCAGGCTGAGCCTGGCCCCCGCATGGTGGCAGTGGCCAGGCAGGCAGGTTAATACTTCCCTGCCTGCTCCCCTTCAATAAACAGCACAGGCAGCCACAAGCCAAGAGGGAGGGGGCAGTGAGCAGGGATCTGGGGTTCTGGCAGGAGGGGAAGTGGGCTCCAGCAGGGGAGATGGGGCAGGTGTAGTGTTTATACTAAGTTGCAGCATAGAGTAGCTACACCTTAGTGTAACAGGAGCTGGGTAACATGGATCAGAGATAATCCTGTCCTAGAGTAGCATAAATTTGAACCACCTAATGAGTGCTTAAAACTCATTTCAGGTGTTAATGCATGGATAATATACATGTTAAGAGTTCCAAGAGCCACCCAAAATTACCAGGTAACAGGGCCCATATTATAAATTGGAAAGCCCACATGTAAGATCCTAGGAAATGGCACATCTAAGTTATGTGAAAGTCAGACAGTCAGAATCAAGACAGGACTGTGGTGACAGACCCATCTCTAAACAGGAGAGTCTGCATCCCCAGAATGAGCTTAAGAGACCCCAGCACAGTAGCTTTGCCTGCGGTTTTTTCAGCCCCCGGAGTCTGAATGTTGGAATGGGTGTGCTCCCTGAAGTTATACTAGCTGGAATCCCTGGGAACACCTCTGTTCCAACAGCCACCAAAATTAATCTAAATTAAGGTCCATATCAGTCATTTTCCTAGATTTGTCTGGCCCACTGAAACAATTCAGAAATGGTTAGGGAAAAAAAAAAAAAAAAAAAAAAAAAAAAAGGCTTCTGTATCTCTAAATTCTACAACTCTAAGAAGTCAGACAAATCCTACATATGCAGATTCTGTACAGATCAGGCTTTTTCTTTTTTTTGCCAATTTTTGGCCCCATGAACTGAGGAGAGAATTAATATTTTATAACCATAGTAAAAGTAATCCTAAAGTTGTTCTCAGACACTCCTGTCACAGATTCCAAGTCTGAAATCAGTCCTTAATATATTCCATTTCCGTAATGGGGTACTGACAAGACTAACAGATTTAAGGGATATAAATATGATTGACTTCATTTATTTGCAAAATCTATGCCATTATTTATGTGCTTCCCTCCCTCTCTAATACTTCATTCCTTAAGAAAACAATTCTATTAGCTTTCACTGCTAAACAACGTTAAAATAACTGGAATCACCTCAACACTTTATATTGTGCTTTTACTATTTACAGTTCTCAAGGCACAGATGTCTCATTATCCCTGTTGTACAAATGAAAAAAACAAGTAATTTTCCTGAGGTTACCAAGCAAGTCAACATGACAGCCAGGAAAAGAACACAGATCTCAGGCCTCCAAGATTTCAGTGGTTCATTGTTGGCTGCAGAATATTCAGCAACCATCCTGATAAAAAGAGTTGGTCAAATAATATTTTTTAGCTTAGTGTTTGGCTAGAATAAAAATCCAGTTCAGGTCAAACCAGCCATTGGTGTTTTGATTAAATTAAATAAAAATGTCATTTGGGGTCAATCCAAAATGTTCTGTTTCATTTGCAGTTATTTAACACTTTGTAGCCTTATTTTCCCTTTGGGGGAGTTATTTAGCCTTTTTATTTAACCTCTCTGTTAATTAACATTCATTTTTTAAACAAAAATGACATTTATTACATTTTAAAACAAACATCTGAAGAGTTCAATTACAGAAATGTTGAAATAAAATACTTAATATTTCCAAAATTAAATACGTAGCTTTCCTCTCAAATTATTCCTCCGAAATTATTTGCTTAATCAGATGCAAATTTGTTACTAGTTTAGGTCACGCTATTTTTCAGCAAACTAATTCTACTGATGAAGTTGGACCATCCACAAATTCACATGCAAAAAAAACCACCCGCTCCACCCCCTACCTCTCCACCCCCCACCCCTAGCATCATATATAGCTATTCCCTGGCTATAGAGAAAAGTGCAAGTAGCATCTTTGCAGGTGATTTACTCTCAGCTCACACAATGACTCTGTGAAACTCCATCCCTGAAGAATTCTAGCAGAATACTGCAAGGAATATTCTTCACAGATCCCAGAGATTCCAAAGAATAGTGCCACTCCCAACACTACTACCATTTGCCTTGAGTCTAGAGATCCTAACAGAGATCCACTACTGCACAGCATCATGACTTGCCTTTCGGTGGCCACTTGGATGTCACTAACGCCCTACAACTTAAGGTGCAGCAGCAGCAGCTGTCCTTGCCTCAAGGAAATTCCCTGTAGATCCAAGATCCATCAGGGTGTTTAAGGGATGGACTTCCACATCTACCACATTCATTCTCACTTATCACCAGGATAGGCAGTTCAAGAAATCTCAGCAGTCTTTCCTACCCAGAGCAGAGTGGCTGGACCCAATGATCTCACGAGGTCCCTTCCAGCCCTAAGTCTCTGTGACTTTCTGGTGGTATGCAATATTACACAAGAAAACACATGCAGGAGCTGAATGAGGACAGTTTGGGACAAGATGATACGGACCTGCAGATAGTGTGAAAAAATAGCCATGAGGTATAAAATGCCCCCAAAGTTCTCCTTGGGGTGTTAACTCACATGCCCAAATGTAAGTGTTCATACTGCTATTTCAGTGGTTATTAAAATGTTCAGGAGGAGTCTGGTTAATAGACCTGTGAACAGCTTCTCACTATGGTCTCATGAATGGGCAGGATTAAGCCAGTTAGCTCTGCAGTTAATTCCTCAAGCAGTTTGTTTTCCACAGAACAAACTTCAGGCACTAACAAGACAATTAAAACAGATCAAAATCCTTTGTCCTCTCCAAACACTAGAAGCCTACCTTTCACAGCTTCTTCCCCAATGCAACAGACTGGCTCCTCCTTGCAACAAACTGTTCCCTCAGAGCTTATTTTTCCTTTCTTTGCTGGGAGGTTTTTAAATTTCCAATGACCCTCCCTAGTTAGCAGAATGCTCCACAGCTGTACTCCCTTCAACAGGGCTGGCTGCCCTTCAGTGGCGACGCTTGGAGGTGCAAGGGGGTGCATGTGCACCCCCTGAGAGCACTAGTGCACCCCCTGACAGGCCACGCTCCCAGTTAGGCAATGGGCAGGTGGGAGTGCCAGTGCACCCCCTGCGAGTGCCGACCAGGGAGTGGGAGCACCAGATGTAGCACCACAGCCGCTTTCCCCCCACCCCCAGTCGGCGAGATCGCTACTGGGAGTGTCGCGCCCCCCCCCAGTGGTCAGACAGGTTGCTGGGGGGCACATGCTCCCCCTGACTA